AAATAATTAAAATTATACATTTAGAAGAAATATAATTTATTGCTCGTGTTAAGCAAAATTATATGAATGATATAATTATTCTTAACTGTGCACAAAAAATAAATGTCAAATTTTTTACGTGACTACAGAATATCAATCGTATTGGCAATTTTTTACGTTTCCTAAAGAGATTTTTATATTTTTTATAGTTCAAAATTTTTTATCGTCATTACATTGACCGGAAATGTCATTTTTAAAAATTAAATGTGCCCAACTGATTAATTTTAACTAAAAAAGTGAAGCTACATGTCAGCTCCATTCGAAACAACATCTCAAGATGTGTGAAGTACTTACATACAGTGGAATGTATACAGATTGGGACTATCCCCATGTTGTCTTTAACCATTTAGGTCGATTGAAGTCCATTACATGTTTTATTTCAAGGATAAATCAAAATTGTAAGTATCCTTGTACTGAGACATGCGACTAAAAATTATTCTGAATAAGAAACATTAATTTACCTATCTTTATTTGTGGGAAAGTAGTAAGACATTAGTACGTGTAAATAAATTCAGAAGAACTATGATTCCATATGTAATTCTTCTATAGACTGCAATAGTTATCTTAGACTTATAAATAGTTTGTATGGCTAGGGATACATAAAGCCAAAATAAACACTCTGAGTTCATATTGCACATACTTGTGACACTTCACTATGGACAAGTTTTACTATTAAAAATGGAACAAGCCATCAAAAAGCTTCTGTATGCTCCAAACATCACACTGAACAACTGCATGGTGATGTCAAATGAAAACAAGCTTCATGAGAATATGAAAGAAACATAAATTGGTCGAACAAGGTTACTCGAGAGGATGTATCCATGTACAGTCCACCCACCAATCATCAGTAATTTACATATTATGAATAAAATCAAAACCATACTGAAAAGTGTATGAAACATGAGATTTGATGGAGGTAAACAAACAAACCAACTCACCTGAAACGTAGCACTCCCGTGCTTCCCTCGAACCGCCGAAACGTTCAACAGCGTGAGTATACAAGATTTCTCGGGGTTCCAGACGTACAGGATATCATCGCGGATCTCCAGGATGTTCCTCGTGTCCTTGGAAAAATCCTTGGGCAGACAACTTTTGAGATCTTTGAATAACTTGGTCTCGTTGAGACCGAGGGGATCGGTGCACGAAGTCATTTTTTATTTATTTTTTCTCAACAATACCACACAGTTTATCCACTCGATTTAACAGATACACAATAAACACGGCACATGTGAGTACGTAAACACTGTATGAAGTGTCTGTTGAGCAAAAACAACAAAGTTTGCCGGGAGAGCTATATTATACGTATAATGTAAGGTTAGGTAGTCGCGTGGATGTAGCAGACGGCTGCAGCGTTTCAGTTAACAGCGCGCGCTCGGGGACACACTCGATTCATCGAATCGAAGCTGCGCTGCAGTCCAACCAACTTTTCGCAACGAAAGCGAAATTCGTCCGTTATATGGAACGCGGGTAAGGATGGTCTCCCGGGCTGAGCAAGTCATCGGCGTTTACGAGAATGTTCCCGTAGAGAAGGAAAAGTGATTCGACCAGCTTGTGCGCGCGGACCTGGTGGCTCCAATTTTCAATCGGTCTCGCGGTCGAGTTTCAGTTTTACTCAGTGCAGTATATATATTTATGATGTAAGTATCGCCGATAGATTTTCCCGAATGTTTCTTGGGACTGATGAACGCATTTCAACCGTTGTTGGAAACTAATGTATACATAGTAAACAAGTATACACAGTCATACATGGTAATGCATCACTCGATTCTTTGGATGTTGGATGGCGATGTTGTACGTGCGATTCCAATTTCCAATGGTGCTGCTGCTCCAAAGGTAAACTGCATTTTTTTTAACGGTTACTCCGAAAGATTTAAATAACTCACTCCTGAACGTATAATATTAAGAATATTTAAGATGCATATACCCATACATAGGTAGTACTTGTATATTTATACAAAGCTTCGATGCCGACACGCAGAACGTAATATATTTCGAGGTAAAGCACCATACAGGTATATACCTAATAAAATAGAGACGCGTTGAAGCAAGCCGGGGAGTGTTTGGTGCCATTAATTTCAACGACGGCTAGCACATACACGTGTATTATACGTAGTTATATCCCGCCTGGTCCCCGGAGAGGAGGCGCAAGACGCTAGAGATCCTTACTTACACCTCCGCCAAGGCTTTCCTTTTCAAAGACCCGGCCCCTTTGCTTGTATAACCTACACCTATACTCATATTATTATCATCGTCATTACTACCATACAAGATATATATATATATATATATATATCATATATACTCTAAAAACACAACGCGGCCTATCTCAGCGTTGGCCTCGCTCGTTAATTAGTAGCTGATACCACAGACGAACGTCTTTTCGCGCCGCACTTGCCGTTTTCTCGCGATATCTGATGACGGTGTGTATATATACGGTAAGGGCGGAGAGGATATATTATAATATTATTGTTGCCTCGGTGTTTCTTACACACCGCACACAAACATCGCTTATCGAAGATTTACACCCGCACGCAGTGCGAAAATTCCCTTTCAATGCTATTATATATACATATTCCTCTGTGACTTTTATCGACTTGTCTTGATATTAATGCGACTCGTAGCAGACTAGCCTATGAGGTACATTTATTCTGGAAAAATCAAGGCCCCGACGCAGATATATTGATGGAGGGGGGGGGGGGCGAGGAAATTCGACGGGAAGACGGTGTCGACGATTCGTCTCTCCCGTCACCATGTGTGTACGCGTGTGCAGGTATACTTTTCGCAAATAGCATCCCCCGGAAGAGGCATCCTTTCGGCCCGTTATAAATGAAACGGCCCCGTGTACCCCATCCATCGGGCGAACCGCAGATTGGCCCGCACTCGATGAACCCATCGCTTTACCACACACACACACACTCCTCTGCGCCCCGGGACATTCGTCTTCCGATTCATTTATCATATATACACACGCGCCCCCTCAACCTTTCGATATTACATGTATTTTCCCTTTTTTGCGCTTCCCCCCCCCCCCCTCACTTTATTAAAATAACGCCAGAGAGAGAGAGAGAGAGTCGGATGTTAATTTCCCCCCGCGCCGGGGACAGATTTAAAATTCCATTTGAAGCCGCGGCGGCGCAAAAAGTATTTAATCTTGGGGGATATTTCCGCGGGGCTAAGATTTTGCGCGAAAAAAAAAAAAAAAAAAAAAAAAAGGTGCTCGCGCGAGGATGTATTATACACGCCGCGTTTTATGTTTCGCGAGCTTGGGATGGGGGGCTCTCGAGGTTTTTTTCAATTTAGAAAATTTCCACGGGCGACGCGCGGACCAGAGCGAAATCCGCCTCGGCGTCCCGCGCGCAAGAGATAATTAACGTCGGTTGGGCTGCTTTGTCTAATTACATTTCTTTTCGCGAGAGGCCGAGGCTTTCAAAGAGAGTTGAAGAGTCTTTTTTTTTTTTGTTTTCTTGATGTATCATCCTTTGCCGTGCGGGTACACTTTTTTGTGCTCAACCATGCGCGGCTCTTTGCGAGGGAGGGAAAAAAAAAAAGAAAAAAATGGGTGTACATACCGAGAGAGCCTTGGAAAACGTTTCCTCGAGCTCGATGTACCTTCGACGCGGAGAGAAACCCTTTTTTTTCTCTCCTCCCCCTCTCTCGTCTTTACCGACTTGTTAGGCACGACTGCTCCGCAATGATGTTTTACACTCTCTCATCCGGAGCGAAAAATTGTACATTGTCGCTGTTTAGGCTGGCAAACAAATTTTAAACTCCAACCAAAAGGTGTCATCCATAACGTCTCGTCAAAGAGAACAATTAATCCTACATGGTAATGACCTACTGTACAGTAAAAAAAATATATTATTTGGCAGTTCTCTTCGTTCGGATTAAAATCGTTCCATTGATATACTCATGAATAAATTAATATCGGCTGGTCTCCAATGCGTGACCCTCATTTTTCACTTATTCAACAGTAAAAATCTTGTTCACTTGCGCAATTAACAGAATTGATCTTTAAATTATACAATAGAATCCAATGCTTCAACTTGAAAAAAAATATAAAATAACAAATGACCAACTAAGTATTCATCATTCCCATGAATATTGTTACGATCACGCTTGGCTGAAAAAATATACCAGACGCGTCTTTGGTGCAAAAGTTTGGCCAATCGCTTTGATTTACCAATCCCTGCTTGAATTATTTATCTTTTTTACTGTCACCTTCACCAAAACTTTCTACTCGGCGAAAATCGAAGCCGAAACGCCAAGTTACGTCAGAAGTACAGCGGGCACATCCTTTGTATCGCTGCCAGATACAAGACGAAGAAAGACGTGCAGCCAAGAAAACGTTACCATATTCACGGGGTAACATCGGTAACATCAGTATACATAACGTGTCTTGTGGCACACGTATAAGTAGGTATATATGCATACGTTCATGTGCACCAAAGGGAAGCGTCACGACACGTCACGATATTATACGCCCGAGAGTTCGCTTTTCCTCCTCTGATTTTGTTTCCCCCCTTTCCTGTCTTTTGGACCGAATATATAAAAGGAGAGAGAGAGAGAGAAATACAGCCCTGGCTTCGGTAATAGAAAAATGGCAAACTACGAAACAACAGACAGACAGACAGACGTAGATGTCGGAAACGCCCGGCCCTCGGTTTCCGATGTAGGCTGTCTCTTGTACACCATATCCTTAAATTTGAATGTGTCACTCTCGCTCGTATGTGACTATTTCCGCGACTTTGTCCCAATGACGAAACGGTAAATCCGCAAAAAGGAAAAACAAAACGCACACTCGGGGGCCAAAAGGGGTCATCACATTTTGGGCTGGTCAAATGGGGGTGGTATTATTTTTGCGCGAAATTAGCGCGAAAAAGAGCGACGCCGTGAATCGTGGGACGATTCTTCAGCCCGAGAGTATAAATAACGAGGGCTCCGTCCGGGATGCTTTTCGTTTTTCGTACACGTACGCCTAGAGCAAAATGCACGAGTATGGAGAAAGAGGGTGTACACGGCGGCGGAGCATTTCTACTCCGAACGCGTTAACAAGACAAAAACCGGCATTGGGGGAAGAACACATTTTAACGTCACAATTAAAAATATTATACATACATTACCGCGACGGTGGGCGCTCATCTTTCTCCGGTGCCGTATATGTGCGGGATTATTAGTAGGTATATGTGCCTTGCTACCCCTTTCTTTTCTCGGCCGTCTCGTGTGTGGCCGGCATAACGATCGCAGGACGAGCCCTTGCTACGAGTGGCCGTATGGGTATACCCCTTTTTTTTTTTTTTTTTACCACAGCCCCTCTGGAGACGAAAAGAAACGAGGGGACACGCGCAAACCAAGACCTCCTCCTCCTCCCTTGAGCGCGGCACGTCGAGTCCTCGGAAGATCGGCGGAATTGAATTAGCCCTCCTCTGCCTGCTCCTACCGTTGATTATTCGCTGCCGAGTCTTAATCGAAAAATTTGCCGTCAATTACGACCGATGGCCCTCCGAGGGATCGCGGTTTCACCATTTCGACAGCAGCGTGACAACAGCGTTTTTTTCCCTTATAGTCACCTTGGTAGTGGTCAGTTTGAAAAAAAAAAAAAAAAAAAAAAAAAAAAGAAAGATTTTGTAAAGACTGTAGAGAGAACATTAACAAAAACATCATTGCAAGGTCCTATACCTGTACCGCAAAACAAATTAATAATTCAACTTTGATCACTCACGATCAAAAAGAGATTTACCGGCAACCCACCAATATCTTTAAACGGAAACAAACTTACTAAAATAAAAAAAAAAAAAAAAAAGAAAACTTACGCGCATTTCTTTCCTCGATTCGTGGGCGGCAAACCGATCAGCCGGAAAGAAAATTGAACACACACACGTACTTGTATCCGTCGCAGGAGGTACTGTACGGCACAAGTGATTAATGGCGCGAAGAATCAGCAATATGAATGGTCATATGTATTATCGACAACGACGACGTGGTCAACATAGCGAAAGGGTTTTGTGTCGCTACCGGTAATTATTAATGGGCGCGACTGGCCGACCTCCTCGCGATACACATATATGTGTGGGATGACAAACGAGCCGATCCAAGACTATTTGGTATTGGCTGCTACCGCGCACCGTATGGCGTGTATATAGGTACCACTATTAATACTATACTGCGACTATACATACCCCGTCCACCCGCGACCGTATAGTGACATATAAATGAATCGCGTCGCCGGCTTCTATTTTACGGGGAACACAGATAGGTGCGCGCGGACCCTCGGGACGAGAACAAATGGCACGCGTCATCCCGCCCGACGATCGAT